GTTATAAATATTATGACATTTCTGGCATGTATATATGACACTTTCATATCACCTTAATTAAATCGCACCGCTTAAGGTGATGTAAAGGAGTCAGCCTATATGTGCCCATAATTATGAAAGTGGTCTAAGTCATATATTTTTTGTTTCGAAATTACATTGAATTAATTTCGTTTGAAATAATATGGCGTTAAATAACTGATAAACTCATTTTTTTTTTAATTTTGACTTAGACCACTTTCATAATTATGGGCACATATATATCTGAGAAGTCAAATTGATGAGGAAAGTATTCTCTGAATTGGGGGTACCGATTCGTTTAAAATTCTCCCACGGGAATATGGAGGCGCTGAGGTAGGTCCTGAAACTCGTGAAATTTCATTTTTCATCCAAAATTTATTAATTTCTCATGGACTAGAACCTACATGGCGTGGTCCGGGGACGTTTCCGATATTTTACGCTTCTTGGAGACTTAGAACCGAAAATAAAGAGTTTCAGGACCTAGCTCAAACAATTTCGAATACTGTAGAAATGAAATGTTGCAGAGTCAGGTGGGAAAATATTTTCAGAAATGATTGCAAGAGAATGCTAGCTCCTCCCAGGGCTAACCCGTGTCTTTAGAAGAAAAATTTAGTTGCAATTAAACGTCACAGATGGCGCCGTTGGTACTAAACAGTCGTTAGAATAATGAATTCCCGGGATTCCAACAGTTTTACGTCGATTTCTTAATCAATACTTTCCCGAAATGACATATGGAACGCTTCAGTTCATATAATCAGCGTATCTCAACGTAGACTGTAAAAGATTTCAACGTAAATATAAATGTCGGTAACGAGATGCGCCAGCTAATGTTCTCACTTGAGTATTCAAAATGACGTTCCCACCAAAAAGGATATAGATGAATTTTAATTTATCGACTTGGATTAGATTTCCCAACGCCTTTTATATCATCTAAACGCTACGAGTTACTCGCTTGAAAATGTACTTGGCTCGAAACTCTACCGAGTTTATATATAGGAAGAATCAGGTATTAAGTAGATAAGAAAGATCCCTTCGTTTGCGTTAAGGTGAAGTGAAACTCGTCGAGGAACTTGGTCAACGTCGATAAAGAAGGTTTTTCTAAATGCCTACGTTGCCGACGTTCGTTTTTATATTGACGGCTGTGTCGAATTATATTGGATATTGTACCAAATGGCATACACCATATGTCGTTTCCGTACAATAATTATAAAGAAATCAAAGTAAAACTCCAGAAATCCTCTAGATTCATGCTTTCTGGGGCCCTAATTGACTGCAGAGGACCTCCTGCGCCATCTGTAATTTCCGCGTCAACTAAATTTTCACTCCCAGACTTCGAACTATCATCGTTTTAGGATAGAAGCGCATAAGACATTTTTTTTGCCTTTACCCCGTTCAAATGCGAGTTTATCCATTACCAGAGTGTTCTAAATTGTCGTAAAATTGTCCTGACCCTTTCGATTCTCATATCAGAGCCTTCGATAATCGNTCTTTAGAGCAAAAATTTAGTTCCAGCTAAACGCCACAGATGACGACGTCGGTCCTAAACAGTCGTTGGAATAATGAATTATCCCGAGGCTATCGCAGCTCTTTAGAGCAAAAATTTAGTTCCAACTAAACGTCAGAGATGGCGACGTCGGTCCTAAACAGTCGTTGGAATAATGAATTGTCCCGAGGCTAACACGGGTCTTTAGAGCAAAAATGTAGTTCCAACTAAACGTCACAGATGGCGACGTCGGTCCTAAACAGTCGTTAGAATAATGAATTGTCCCGGGGCTAGCGCGGGTCTTTAGAGCAAAAATTTAGTTCCAGCTAAACGCCACAGATGACGACGTCGGTCCTAAACAGTCGTTGGAATAATGAATTATCCCGAGGCTATCGCAGCTCTTTAGAGCAAAAATTTAGTTCCAACTAAACGTCAGAGATGGCGACGTCGGTCCTAAACAGTCGTTGGAATAATGAATTGTCCCGAGGCTAACACGGGTCTTTAGAGCAAAAATGTAGTTCCAACTAAACGTCACAGATGGCGACGTCGGTCCTAAACAGTCGTTAGAATAATGAATTGTCCCGGGGCTAGCGCGGGTCTTTAGAGCAAAAATTTAGTTCCAGCTAAACGCCACAGATGACGACGTCGGTCCTAAACAGTCGTTGGAATAATGAATTATCCCGAGGCTATCGCAGCTCTTTAGAGCAAAAATTTAGTTCCAACTAAACGTCAGAGATGGCGACGTCGGTCCTAAACAGTCGTTGGAATAATGAATTGTCCCGAGGCTAACACGGGTCTTTAGAGCAAAAATGTAGTTCCAACTAAACGTCACAGATGGCGACGTCGGTCCTAAACAGTCGTTAGAATAATGAATTGTCCCGGGGCTAGCGCGGGTCTTTAGAGCAAAAATTTAGTTCCAGCTAAACGCCACAGATGACGACGTCGGTCCTAAACAGTCGTTGGAATAATGAATTATCCCGAGGCTATCGCAGCTCTTTAGAGCAAAAATTTAGTTCCAGCTAAACGTCACAGATGGCGACGTCGGTCCTAAACAGTCGTTAGAATAATGAATTGTCCCGAGGCTAACACGGGTCTTTAGAGCAAAAATTTAGTTCCAGCTAATCGTCACAGATGGCGACGTCGGTCCAAAGCAGTCGTTAGAATAATGAATTCCCGGGATTTCGATAGTTTTACATCGATCTCTTCATCAATACTTTCCCGAAAAGACATATGGAATGCTTCAGTTCGTATAATTCTCAACGTAGAATGTAAAATACTTCAACATAAATATAAATGTCGGTAACGGGACGTGCCAGCGTATGTTACCATTTGAGCATTCAAAACGACGTTTCCACCAAAAAGGGTATAGATGAATTTTAATTTATCGACCGGGATTAAATTTCTCAGCTCCTTTCATATCACCTTAAATAACATAACCTTAAATATTCTCCCTCTCTTTATATTTCTGGGATGCCATCTACTCATCAATATTTTTCCACCCTCACAGGCTTATCAAACCAGAGTTTCAATGCCTGGTTTCCGCTCTCTGCGAAGAGCAAGTGCTGATGCACATAAAGCCTTTGGAGGTTAAGGCACGAAAGAAGCAACGCAAGGTGGAAACGGAAGTGGCGGATCTGCGGAAGCGGATGGAGGAGACAACCGGGAAGAACATTGTTCTGAGCAACCGGGAGATTAGACTCCTGAGATATCTGGCGCTCACGGAGGACGAGAAGGAGAAGCTGAAGAGCAGCTACAAGGTGGCGAGGAAGCTCGAGAAGTTGGAGAACGCCAACCAGGAGAAGGGAGACAGCAGCGACGAAGACGACGACGACAAATTGGAGGACGCAGAGTACCCAAGTCTCGATAGTTGTAATTCGGACCATTCGCAAGTGGGTAGGTATCTATAAAGTACTTCTAATGGTTCGTGTCCAGGCTAAGAAGACAGTTTATCCAACCCAAACAATGAAATATGGTTAGTTGGAATTCGGACAATTCGCAAGTGGGTGGGTATCTCCAAGGTACTTCTAATGGTTCGTGTCCAGGCTAAGAAGACAGTTTATCCAACCCAAACAAAGAAATNATTTTATCAAAAATTATATAATTTTTTATTTTTAATTATTTTTTGGTACTTGACAATAGTTACATATTAAATGACAAATCAGACTTTCAATGAAATTATGTAACGATAAACTATTTGATTTTACTTAAAGATAATTAGGATTTCACTCGACTAGCAAACAATGACTGATAAAGTATATGCGCGTATGAATTAAAGTCACATTTTTCATACGAGTAGTAAACAAAATATGACATATATTAATCTTATGACATTTGACGATGAATTATGACAATGACGATGACGATGATGTAATAAAATAGATGACAGCACCAATGTAGTTCTGTTTTGTTACAAATATGTGCTGCATATGCACAGTAATATCAGGACAGTAACATAATGTAAGATGAGAGTAACAAAATTACGCTACATTTATATAGATACGATAGTAACAAATGTTACATAACCTGTTAGCTCTATGTTACATAACTGTTGTTACTGCATTGTAATAAATGTCATGTAACCAGTTAGCTCTATGTTACGTAACTGAGGTTATGACCTTGTACAAAACGTTACGTTATTTGTTAATTTTAAGTTACGTAACTGTTAGGTTTGATGTTCGGTGGGTGAACCGCTGATTTTTATTCGTTTTGTGCTTTATATCATGTTAGTTTTACTTTATAATGGCACTTATAATGCCTTGCTTTGTAAAGTTTGCCGATATTTACTTGGAGGATTGACAAAACGTTGCGATTCCATTTTCAGGGTGTTTAATATGTTTGTTACCTAACCTATTTCATTGAAAGGTAGATTATTATCCCAATTCAATTAGTTCTTCCAGTCTTTAAAGAGTATCAACAATTCCGTACATTAATCAAACTGCTGATTTTTACTCGCCTTGTGTTATTTTATAATGGCATATATAAAGCCATACTACCAAAGTTTGCCAATATTTACTCGGAGGATTGATAGAACGTTGCGATTCCATTTTCAGGATGTTTAATTTTTTATTACCTAACCTATTTCTATGAAATGTAAATTTTTGTGCCATTTCAATTAGTTCTTTCACTCTTTAAAGAGTTTCAACAATTCCGTACATTAATCGAACTGCTGATTTTTACTGGCCTTGTTTTATTTTATAATGGCACATATAAAGCCGTACTACCAAAGATTGCCAATATTTACTCTGAGGATTGTTGTAATTCCATTTTGAGGATGTTACTCAATTAAACTTGTTATGCGTGGATAATTGCGATTACGACGCGCACCCACGTATACCCTGTTTTACCGACCGCGAAGATTTCCCCCCTTTGAGAGTAGTTCCAATTTTTACAGAGGTGTAAAGAGCGTAGAGGGCGCCAGGGGGCCGTGCCTCCCTTTCAAACAATGGCGGGAAACATCTCCGCAATACATTTATCGCATCCTTCTTTCTTTTCCAGGTTGCCGCCTTGTCCTTTCATTGACACACCGCAAGAGGGCAGCACTCGACCTTCGTAAATTCGAGAATGGACAGTTCAGAGTACGAATTGTTCCGCAACATGACGCTTCTATTCTTCTTCGAACGTCTGATGGACAAAGGAGGACCTCGGACTTTGCACGACCTAAGTTGCCAATTCGGAGCGAAAGGGTTCACGAAGGAAATGAGGCAGATAGCAGGGGGATCCCGAAGTGGCCTTAAGAAATTCCTGTCCCAATACCCAGTCTTGTTCCTTATCGACGGTGATTACGTGAACGTGAACTCCTTTCAGACCATCGCCGAGGAGGACAATGGGTCTAAATCTTCAGCCAAAAGAGATTACGCCCAGGAAGCTGTCGAGTACTTTTCCAACAAACTCATGCAATATGGAGCGGGAACGGAAGTGCCGATTAGGAGCCTCCTGGGTCATAGGTCACAGGCTTCCCCCGAGGTCAGACATATTTCCGGACAGCACTACAAGGAGTTCAGAGACTTCCTTACGAGATATCCGGACTCTTTCTTGGTCACCGATGATGATAACATCATCCTGAAGCAGTACGAAGGGATGAAGTTCGAGTCCATCCACCAAGCTGAACCGGAAATATCGATTGATCCCGATCTGACCTCTGAGTTACTTCAGGTGAGGCTTGAGAAATTGATCATTAAGGGGATGTGAAAGTGGCATCCGAAAGCTCAATCGTTCATAAAACTTTTCTACGAACTGGGTGTCTCAAATCGTTTCATACTTTACAACGTGATTATGGAGACCCTAAGGTAGGTCCTGAAATTCGCAAAATTTCACTTTTTATAAACTATTTTTAAAATACCTGTTAACAGATTTGAAAAGAATTGAAATTTCATGAGTTTCAGGACCTTCCTTGTAGTTTTCCTATTCACGTTGTAAAGTTTCAAACTATTCGGTAAACCGAGTTGGGAAAAAAAGTTTTATAAACAAAACCTTTTCGACGCCACCTTCACATCACCTTAAGGGGATGTGAAAGTGGCATCCGAAAGCTCAATCGTTCAAAAAACTTTTCTACGAACTGGGTGTCTCAAATCGTTTCATACTTTAATACGTGATTATGGAGACCCTAAGCTGGGAGATGTTTCAAGACATTATTTGAAAGGGAGGCACGGTCCCCTGGCGCCCTCTACTCCCTTTACCCCTCTGTAAAAATTAGAACTACTTTCAAAGGGAGGAAATCTTCGTGGTCGGTAAAACAGGGTATATGTGAGTGCGCGTCGTAATCCCAATCATCCACGCTAAACAACTTTATTTGGTATTCGTAGTCTCTTTCCCACCCTACATTGACCCTGATACTAAAAACGATGATGTTTCCCGCCATTGTTTGAAAGGGAGGCATAGTCCCCTGGCGCCTTCTACTCTCTTTACCCCTCTGTAAAAATTGGAACTACTTTCAAAGGGGGGAAATCTTCATGGTCGGTAAAACAGGGTATAAGTGAGTGCGCGTCGTAATCCCAATCATCCATGCTAAACAACTTTATTTGGTATTCGTAGTCTTCTTTCCCAACCTACATTGACCCTGATACTAAACACGAAAAGGCGCTAACTTCATTTTATAGACACTGTGCTGTATTTGAGATCTGCAGACGGGTTTTTCATTACCGATAGAGAACATTTTGCCCATTTGAGAGCAGTTCCACGGCGCTAGTGAGCCGTGCCTCCCTTTCGACAATGGCGTGAAACATTCCCACTCATCTCCGGGAACAATAATGCAATATTTCCGATTTTATTCCAGGTCTGCACGCGATACATCGAGGAAAGGGGACCAGCACTCGTCGACCAGCTCTTCAACGCAGTTACCGACAAAATCCCGCACAGCTCTTGGGCTCCGATCTGCAAAACGCCGCAAGACTTATCGACCTTCCTGAAGATGTTCCCAGACTCGTTCCACATCCAACGGAATCTCGTCACCCTTGTCAAGCGACTGAAAGTGTACAGCGCCACCGACGGAGAGAAGCCGAAGCATATGAACGTCGAGACGCAACACACCAGCTCCCAAAATCAAATTTGCATACAGAGTCAAGATACGGAGAGCCAGGATGCGTCTTGTAACACTTCTCCGTCGCATTCTATCACCGATGGCCATCCTCAGTCCCATAACTCGATGCCGTTGCAAGTTTCCCAGTCCCTTAAGCAAAGGATTAATATGCTAGTTATGAAGACCCTTGTAGATAACACCGATAAGGACCGCAGTATTCAGAGCGCTCAAGTCGGCGATGCTTGGAAGCTCAGGGTCCTTCAACAGACGAGAACTGTTAGCAACGCGAAGGAATGCCTTCAGATTGTCACTGACATCATGAATCCCCGGAAAACGCCACCTGATGGGAAAAATGTTATCTCTTTTGATTGCGAAGGCATTAATCTGGGATTCAAAGGACAACTCACGCTTGTACAGATCGGGACCATGCAAGGATGTGCTTATGTCTTCGATTTGCTGACTTGTCCTAATCTGATGCAAGCAGGGGGACTGCAAAGCCTACTTGAGAGCGAGGATGTCATTAAGGCGAGTACTTATGTTTACTACATTTAAGGTGATGTGAAAGAGGCTGGGAAATTTAATCGACGTCGATAAATTAAAATTCTTCTGTACCCTTTTTGCTGGGAACGTCATTGTGAATGCTCAAGTGGGAACGTAAGCTGGCGTGTCCCGTTACCGACATTTATATTTATGTTGAAGTCTTTTATGGTTTACGTTGAGAATTATACGAACTGAATCGTTCCATATGTCGTTTTGGTAAAGTAATGATGAAGAGATTGGCGTCAAATTGTCGAAATCCCGGGAATTCATTGTTCTAACGACTGTTTAGGACCAACGGCGCCATCTGTGACGTTTGGCTGCAACTAAATTTTTGCTTCGACTTCGACATAGATATAAATGTCGGTAACCGGACACGCCAGCTTATGTTTCCACTTGAGTATTCAAAATGGCGTTCCCACTGAAAAGGATATAGATGAATTTTAATTAATCGTCCTCGATTAAATTTCGCAGTGCCCTTCATATCATCTTAAGGCAGCCGTTCCGTGTGATGGCTGTATTTTTTCATTATCATTTTTCATGAATTAAATTAACTGAGTTAAATTTTTTGGCGTCTTTCATGTCAGTTCAAAATTTCTGTTTGCACGGAATATCGTGCTAATATATGATGATGATGAAATATTCATTTTCTTGTATTATTTTCTTGTAGTTTCATGATCGACTATATTTATTACAGAGATTTATCTTCGGTTACAGGTTGTTCACGACTGTAGAAACGACAGCGTGAATTTATTCACCCAATTTGGCATCACATTGACGAACGTCTTCGATACGCAGGTACAAATATATGCTTAATATTTAAAAAACAAACTTGAAACCAGGGTTGGGTAAATATAATATGTCATGTAATATACGTGGATTTCTACGCGTATATTACAACGTATAATACCTCCCTAGTTTTCTACCCGAACGCAAAGTACATTACGCCCTTCTCCTTTTAAATAGAAAATAACAAATCCAATTAGAAATTTGATATTAAACAGGGTTAAGTCGAAATAATTTAATCATAAACGGAAAATTAATTATTTCTTAACAATTTTTACGTGTTTATCAAAATGAAAATACTTATTTCATACGCTTACTTACCTGGATTTATGGTTTCTGAGGCCCTAATTGAGTGCAGAGGACTCCCTGCGCCATCTGTAATTTCCGCGTCAATTAAATTTTCACTCCGAGACCTCCTATTCCCATCGTTTTAGCATAGAAGCGCATAAGACACTTTTTTGGTGCTTTTACCCCGTTCAAATGCGAGTTTCTCAATTACCAGAGTGTTCTAAATTGTNGTAAAATTGTCCTGACCCTTTCGTTTCTCATATTAGAGCCTTCGATAATTGCATATCGATCGAAATATGAGAGCTCGACGCCACTTTGGTTCTGGTCTGGGCTAAGTTAAACAATTTTGTTTAAAAATCCAAATTTCTATTCAATACCCTTAAAAAACTGTTGTATATATGGGTACGCGAGAAAAATGCCCAGGGAAAATACTAATTTCGTACGCTTACGAATTAAAAATAGAAAAAAAATAGAATAGCAATGTTAAAAAAAAATCAAAGCGCGTTCATGCCTTGCAGCACGTGACTACTCTTTAGAGATTTACAGAGATTTGTTTTTTGTCATCCAGGCGGTGCATGCAGTACTTCAGTTTCAAGAAACCGGGAAGCCTGTCTACAAAGTGAAGAACGTCAATCTCAATGCACTTTGTGAATTGTACAATGCCCCGTGCAATCCTCTGAAGGAGCAGCTCAAGAACATTTATCGGAGAGATCAGAGATATTGGGCCCGAAGGCCTTTGACTCGAGACATGTTGATATATGCAAGTTGCGACGTATTGAGTCTTGTTCCACAAATATACACCACCATGTCTAGGTATTGCAATTCTACTTATTAAGGTGAAGTGAAACACTTTGAGGAAATTGATCGACGTCGGTAAAAGAGATTTTTGTAAATACCTACGTTGCCGACGTTGGTTTTTATATCGACAGCTGTGTCGAATTATATTGAGTATTGTACTAAATGG